AAATGGTTGAGGGAAAAATCAAAAGAATAGTATTTCATGACAGGTGAGAATTATATAAAATTCAAATTTCAGTGTCTATAAAAAGTTTTATGGGAACACATCTCTGCACATTCATTTACATATTATCAGTGGCTGCTTTTGTAATATAAGGGTAGAGTTGAGTGATGGCAACAGAAACAGTATGTTGGCCTACAAAGCCAAAACTAGTTACTATCTTTACAGAAAATGCTTGCCCTTTACAGAAAAAGTTTGCCCATCCCAGATCTAAGCCATGAGACCCTCTGCATAGCAGCAAAGTCTGCCAATAACCCTCTTACCTGAGTGAAGTTTTATTTCTGGAAAAGAGGAGTCTCGTCAAGTAATCTCAAGAACCACAAACAAAATTAGTGGATAATTAGACAATCTGATCCTCATAAAAGAAACTCTTGGAAATCATTGATAACTCTACCATGTCAATGTCAGAACTGATTTCTTATGAGAAACAATTTACCCCCCAAAATTTGTCTTTTCCTACTACTTTGCAAAGGGGCCGTTATAGCCCATTTTTCCCTTTTCTTTTTTTTCTTTTCTCTTTTTATAAGTGGTCTGAAGGATAGCAAATTTATCTTTTCTTTATGAGTAATAGTATCATCGGTGAAAGTGACTGCTAAAGAGCAAGCAAGCATGAAACAAATCCCTCCCCAATAAAGTGGTGACTTTGAAAAGGAAATTGCCCTGCTCAAGTGATGGATTCTGTTTCAGCCGTCATGACCCATGTTATGAGGGAGTCCTGGGACCCGGGTCCTGGCCCTTATAGGCAAAGCAGCTGCAAAGCCCCACTGGGAGCTCCCTGAGGAGGATCTGTGAATGGCCAAAGGCTGACCCGCTGCTCCTACCGCCCCTGTGGGCTGCAGTGTTAAGCGCTGAGTCTCCAGAGACCCCTTCCACCTAGCCTGGAATGCTCCCCTCACCCCCCCCCACTTACTTTCCCCAAGAAAGGCCTAGTTTGAGTTCCAAATATGGTAATAGTCGTGGCCCACAGCCTCATGATATCCTATATTACTTTTTGTCATCTTATGTTTGTGCTTTCTCTTCCCTGGGACTAGAAGATCCTCGAGCACAGAGAGCACCCATCATTTAAACATCTTCCAGTTAGAGACCTACAATAAATTCCAACGAACATGTTCAGGATGAAATGGGAAATGAATAGCGTGTTGAACCTTTCTTCTCAAACAGAAGATGAGATGCTTGAACAAATCTTGCTTCTCTCTTTCTGATTCTTGGACAGGGCTTTCCAGATGAAATGCTGAGATCTAGGGCCAATGGAAGGATTTTTAACAGTGTGGTGTTACTTTATGAGGGGACAATCTACCTACTCAGAGCAAAAATGGGGCTGCAGATTGTTCTTTTCTGGGTTTTGTTAAGGAACAGTTTCAAATCAAACTTTTGTTGGTTCCTCAGAAAAGGAGAAGATGGAGCCATGAGCCAGGGAGGGGTCCCTACTTTCAGCATTTGGTGGCTTTGAGATTGTGACATCAGGCCATCTTCTTGTCCCTGAGACATCAAATGCTTGCTTCATGGAAGAACTTTGTTTTTCATTGTAAAGATCGGAGTCTGAGGAGATTTTTGTCAATACCAATTATGGTACATTTAAATATTGAGCTTTGTAAGAAGATTTTGACAATTTTCAACCTTTTCCTCTCTTCTGCAGTCATCTGAATGTTGCGATCATGCAAATAAATGTTTCTTCAAAATTAGAAGTATTTACTTTAACTCTGGATTCAATTTTATATTTTCCTTTATACTACAGTTGCCAGATAATTAGTAGTATTCCAAAAGGAATTTAATATTTTAGAAGTGTCTTAGTCCTGGAAGTTTCTAGGGCTATCAAACTAGGTAAGTCTCCCAGTTTTGCTCTGAGAAAGAATCATAAAATGATTATAATCGTTGAAAAAAAAATAAAGCTAATTGATACTTCAACCCCAGCTGTGCTTAGAACAACTAGGGTACATGTTACAAATTACTGACCTCTGGGCTCCACTGCCCCCAAGAAAGTCTCATTTAATTGCCCGAGAATAGGCCCAAGGCACAGGTATGTTTTCATAATCTCCCCAGGGTTTGACTGGCAGTGAGAAGATCAGACACAAGCACCTCATACACACCTCTATTTGAGCATTTAGCACTCTATGCTGTGACTGCTTGTGTGCTGGTGTGCTTCCTCTCCTTACAGATGCTAAGCGGAGGGAGACCCAGGAGTTGTATCTTACTCAGTTTGAGTCTCGTAGTAGACAGAGGTTTGTTAAATTCCAAGAGCCTATGGTTAACAAAATTCCTTCTGCAGGCACAGGTCCAGTGGAAAGAAGGCAAGGAGGAACCCCAGGAAGTTTCTAAAGCAAAGGTGGCCAGGCTCAGTACCACGTGACCCCAACAACTTGGACATAGGTAACTAGCCCAGGAATAAGCACCTGACCGAGGTCTGCTGATCCACAGGGTGTCCAGCAACCCAAAGGAGGCCTGATACAAATGCTGAGTCCAACTCTAGCACGTGGTTAGTGCCCGGTGCGGCCAATTAGATTCTTTCACTAAAGGAGTTAAAACGTGAGATCAACAGAAAGCTGAGCAGTTGGTCGCAGGATCAGAAGCCAAGAGACAACTGAAGAAAAACAGAGAGAGAGAGGAACTGAATCACCTTGGCGGCTAAGCCTGCTGGTAGGGATCGCAGATGCCTGCTGCTCAGGGGGCAGCGAGATAACCCAGTCACAGAGCCGTATCCTGAATGACCTTCCAGTTCCTGAACTTCAATCCAGTTTTCGTGAGGCCTGGCTGGGTGGCCTTTCCGGAAGGCTTTTCGGAGACACGTGGCTGAGTGGTGGAGATTCCGGTCAGCCTTCCTTCCACAGCAAACTCCCATTACTTAGGGTAAACTCAGTGCTATCTGTTCTCTGTAACCCCAAAAAGCCCAGCCAGCACATTCCCAGGGTCTAGCACGTAACAAATGCTAAATCATTGGAGGTGCCTGGACAGCATGATCATCCCCAGTGAAAAACCTTCTGAAAATGAAGAAGTCGTTCATGGTAGGAACACTGACTAGGGTCGCCTTCAAATTCCAAAAACAATGCTAAGCTACGACACATCTTATTAAGCTTAGTCTGACCTCCCATTCCCAAGCCCATGCACATTTCTACCATAAACCTATCAAAGAAGGAAATGTCACATTCTGCAGAACTACAGTGAGCATCCAAACTTCAGCTAAGGTATGTTTGGATGACTTGATTTTCACTCCGCTTCATCTTAAATCACAGTAACATTAGTAAGAACAATTTTCCTCCCACACCAGCTTCACTGACAAACCTCCAAAGTAGCTGATCTTTGACTTTTAAGAAGTTTAATACATGATCTTCTCCCCACATTGCCACACATTCCCCTTGTCTATTGTCTGTATTCGCTACTTGAAGAACACATACTCCCCAACAACCGGATGAGTCACACAATTAGAGATACATGGATGTAAACTGAGCCTGTTTACCCTTTCCCTGGCCCCAGCTAATAAAATAAAAGAGGTCCCACTCAATTCGGGTCCAATGGCTTCCGGAAAGCAGGTTCTGCATAGCAAAGACGTACCTTATTTAGTACATTATTTTAAAGGCAGAGCTAATTTCATGCACTGTGTGAATTTATGGGGAGAGTCATGGGCAGGGTGTGTGTAAGGACTTGCCCTCTTCATGTCCTCTACAAAAGAAGGCTCCGGCTGCTTCTGGTGGTAAGCTAACCAACAAAAGGAATGCCTCAAAGGTGTCACAGAAATCGGGAATGGGAGCTGGGTCCCTGCTCTCACTGGAAACCCAGCACCCAAGGGAGTGCTCGCTTCGGTTACCCATCTGCATTTTCGAAAATCTGGATAAAAGCAGGTTTAGCCCAACCTCCCTTGACCTGTTCCTGATAAAATGATCTTACCCCTGTGGAATTGGGATTTTGAATGTATGTGCCTACCCCACGTCTGGTATTCTATTACAACAGCATGAAAATGGAGCCTAGGACTGAGGAGCCGGCCAGCCTCAGAAGCCTTCTTCGTTGCCTGCCATGTAATACATGATATGCAAAGCCTCTGACTTCAGCCAGCAGGTATTTGGAGACCGTGTTGGCCCTAGCATGGGGACTAAACTAATGTGTGTTTAGGTCAGAAAGCGAATCAGAAAAGCCACTGGAGGGCACGTCACTGAGTGAGAGCCTTATAAATTCATCCCCACTCTCAGCGTCCCCTGGCAAACACTCTGCCTCCCTCACTGGGCCGCTCCACATCTCTCCACACTCCTTCGTAGTGCTAGGAGGACTCCAGCAAGCAGCTCCTCTCGTCCCCGCTGCCTTCTGCCTCGCAGAAAAGCGAGAGGGCTAGATCCCCGGGAAGAAAGGAAAGCCTTCGACAGGCTCGAGGAAAGCCCAGTGTAGCCCTCCACCCGACGGAGCGCTCTCCCTCACAGCGCGGGGCGCGGGGGCATAGCCCGGCGCGGGCGCCGCGGTCAAGTTCAGATTGCCCCCTTCGGTTGGACTGCTCCGAGCTCCGCATTCCTCCGGATCTACCCCGCAAGGAGGAGACGCGAGCCCGGCAGCGTCTCCACGCGCTGAGCGCGCTCTCCCTGCACCCCGGGGAGGAGCGCCTCGCGTCACCCACTCGCACCCCGAGCCCTCTCCTCGGGAGCTCGGGCGCCGCCTTGCTGCTCTCCTTTCGCTCCCTCACAACCGCCTCCCCACCCCTCCCCTCCCGGGGCCCCGCGCCTCCCCTCCCCCACCCGGCCCCCCGGCCCGGGGTTCTCAAGGACCAGCCTGCGCTCCTGGCGCCCTCATGTCTTCACGGGACTCCCCGCGCCGGTTGACGTGGTGTCTCGTTCGGATTTCCAGGCCAGACCTCAGCTCCGGCGGCAGCATCAGCCCGGCCCATCTCGTGCTACCAAGCGCTGCGCCCCGAGAAGGCGCAGAGCGCTGCCGCCGCCGCTGAGCCGCCCGCCGCGCCCCGGGCCCGCGCAGCCCCGGCCAAGAGCGCGGCGCGCGCAGCCGTGTCACCCCCCCCCCCCCCCGGCGCCGGCGGCGGCGCGGGCCTCGGGGTCTGGGGGTGCAGGGCATCGGCGGAGGAGCTGTCGGCATCCCTCGCCCTTCTCGAGGCGGCGGCGGCGGCGGGAGCCTTGGCTGCCGCCTCCAGCGCGCCCTCGCTGCCCCAGGATTTCGAACTCGTGCCCCTGACCTGTTGGGCGGGGCTCTGCGCTCCTGCCCTTGGCCCGGATGGGGCTCCTGGCTGGGACTCGGGGCTCCTGGAGTTAATGTCCAACTGGGGGTCTGCGGAGACCGGATCCGAGGTGAGTGGGGGAGCGGGCCGGAGGTGCAAGGGGCGGGTGGCGCTTGAGTCGCCGGAGGGCGCGGCGGCCTGCAGGGCGCGGAAGACAGAGGGGGCGCGGCCGGACCCCAGAGCAGGCGGTAACATTGGAAAGAGGAAAGACTATATGGAACCGAGGCGCCGGGAGGATAGAGGAGAGAGAGAAGTTGAACGGGAGAGGGGCTGGCCTTGCAGAGATGCCGTTGCCTTTCCACGTGGGCAAAGAGCGCTGGTGCCCGATGCCTGTGGACCCCCGGAATGCCCGAGAGGGTCAGTTTCCCTCCCCGACTCGGTGGGGCGCTCTTCTGTCAAGTCCCAGGACGGTGCGGGTTTGGGGTTATCTTTGAACCCACCGCGACCAGAAAGTGTCCTCTCTGGACGTGCAGCTACAGAGATACCATAGTCTGGAGTATAACTTACTATTGAGCTTATTTGGGTCTGTTCCGAGGGAAGGCGCACACCGTGGAAGGGACTGCTGCAAAGGTGCTGAGAACATAAAAATAGCGGGCTAGCCTCTTCCAGGGTGCTGTCTTGCAAAGCTACATTCCTCACCCTTTTCTGAACCCGATTGCTTGCACTTTGATAATCCCCGCAACCCCAACTAACCATGCCCGTCGAGGTTAGGAGAGGGGCTGCCTGGACAGTCCAGGACTTGAGTCTCCGCCTCCATCAGTTTCTTGAAATTCTTCAATGTCTCCGCCAGGCCATCGAAGTTATTTTAGTGACTTTTTTTTTCCTGTACTGTGCCACCTCCCCAATAACACCCTCCACCATTACCTTGCACCTCTGGGCTGATTGCGCCGTGGCTTGGTTTACCAGACCCACCCGGTGAAAACGAACCCTCATCGGGGAGTGGTGTGGCCTTTTACCGGAACCCCCAGCCTCCTGGCGCCTCCCTGGTTTGGGCTTTGGCAAACCCGCCCGCAGAGCCGACGCGCGCGCCCGGGTGGGGAGGGGGGTGCTGCCCAACCCATTGCTCCCAACATTTTTGCTCATTGGCGGGGACAAACACAACTCTTCCGGCCCCTGCCGCCGGTGTGCTCGAGCGTACTCCACAGTACTTTGAATGTACATTTAAAGTATTCCGAGGAAGAAATGCAGCTTAACTTCACGCACGCACCTCTTCCTTCCTCCACCTCAAAGTAGGAGCCGCTGGGTTTCCGCCCGGCCCGGACCAACTCTAGCGCCCTGTTTAGCCACACCTTCGGTTTGGCGGGGTTTGGGACAGGGTCGCCTTTTCAACAAGTGTCAGATGCCCAGGGAGCCCGCAGCGTCCCAGCCCACTGTCGAAAGGGTTTCGGCCGTCCCCCCTCCCCCCCGGAATATGGCCTCGGGCCCCTTACAGAGAGACCTCTCCCCAGACTGCACGCAGAAAACGGCCCTCCTTTTTCTTTCCCCTGGTCTTGGGCCCAACAGTTAGGGGGAAATAAGTTCTCCGTCAGGCTAGGACACGAGGCACACTTAAGAAAAGCAATACATCTTTCAGCAACTTGTGTCCCTACCCCAAAAAGAAAACTCGGAGTTACAGCACGCCCCCCACCACCCCGCCTCCCTTTTCTCTCCCGGAGCCCTGGATCTTGAAGGCAATGCCCAAACAAACCTCCCAGCCTGCCAGACAGAGGAAGGCGCGGGGGCACGGGCGGCGGAGGCACTCGCCCCCGGGGAAGCTAACACGAGGATGCGGGGAATTGGGGGAGGGGGAATTCTAAAAGGTTACTGAGACACCAGCTCAGGTGAGGTGGGAAGGGGAAAACTGGGGAGAGGATGAAGGGTCGGAGCCTGAAGAGCAGGCACACTGGTGAACACATCCGGAATTTTCGGGAGTAATTTGGTATTAGGGGGAATGAGGTAGGGAGGTGCTTGTTCACCGGTTTTATACTTAAAAAGACGACGCAGCCTCTTTCGCGTGGGCACTACAGGACTCGGACGGTTTCTGGTGCCCCCTGGTGCTGGGAACCCAGAAGCGCCCCACCGTAAGCCGCGGCTTTTGCCGGCACTGCGGCTCTCCAGGGCGCCCTTTCCGCCGCGGGCCTGGGGACCACCGGTGCGGGCGCCCGCGACGCGCCCTTTCCCTGCGGGCGGCGATGGTCCGGGGCGCAGAGGGGAGGCGTCCTGTGGGGTACAAAAATGGGTGCGGGGGCACCTGGTGGAGCCGACTTCGGGAGGAAAGCGTGGTTACCGCACGTGGCAGGCAGCGCGTTAAGCAATTCGCGCGCATAGCAAAGGCGGCTGGTTGCAGGCGGAAACACGTCTTGCAGCTGTGCTTTGAGAAAGCGGTTAGGGGACAAACAGGGAAGGGGCGGGGGGGGGGGGGGGAGTTGGGGAGCCCAGATGGGCTCTGAGAAAAGCGTCCCAGTAGATCGCTGTGTGTGCTGAGGCCCCAACCCCCCGCCTCTTCCTTCGCCCAGCAGATACCGGGAACTAAAGAGCCGCCCCGAGTAGAGCCGGCCCCGGCGATGCTCCGAGGGAAGAATGCGCCTCCCTGTCGCGGGGGAGGTGGGAGCGTGCTTTCCGGGCCTGCGCCGCACCCGGCCGCGGGCGGGAATGGGAGCCGGGAGCTTCCTCTGGCCAAGCGGGGGACTTTTCCACTGTTTCCTCTTTTGCCAACTTCTCCACACTTATAATTGAGGATCTCCACGTCCAATTTAAAAAGCTCTCCGTCGGCCAAGCAGGAAAAAAAAGGAAAAACCCTCTTAATGCGGAAGGGAAATCTGGTGCCTCTGTCGCTTCCTGCTGGCGGGCACCTCGATTTGGAATGGCGCATTAACCCCGCGGCTCCCTGCTCCTCAGGGCCGCCAGCCATTTCGCACGCATCCTGGAGCTGGCACCGGGGCGAGGGGGCGGGAAGCCTCGCGTCCCCCCATTCCTCTCTGTGCGCTCATTTGCACGGCGTGGGTGCAGTGTTGCCTGGGCCGCTGCGCCAGAACCCAGACCTTTCCCCGCGGGTTTGTAAACCAGCCAGTGCGGCATGAGATGCCCGGAGCTACAGGTTGCCTGGAGTTCCCAGCCTCTACAAACGCCCCGAGCCTCACAGTTGCTTAGCGAACAGACTCCCGAGGGATGGAAAATGCATTCGTCTCCGCAGCGGTGGGAGGTGGAGACCGAATTAAACGCTTCCCCGGGTGGCCTGCAAGGGAATCTGGGCGGGAGTTCTGGGTGGAGATGGGGGTAGGGCTGCTGGAAGGGAGGCGGGTAAGCCTGGGAACGTATAGAAAGATGTCAGGCCGAAGTTTCTGCTTTTACCTGGAAACCGTCTTGCTCTCTCCCATGGGAAAAGTTCAAGGAGATTTTCCTTAGAATCGTATTTGGAGGAGAGGGGATAATCAGTTGCATGAATCTCGTAGTTCCCACTTGAGAATTCCCTTGGAAACTGGAACCCTGGCATTGGGAAGACACTGGGTAACATCATACCTCGAGGTGCCTGGGTCCTCTCCACCTCCTGATTGGGTGGGGCAAGCCCCGAGTTGACAGTGCCTTTTTCTCGCCCGCCCCCAACTGCGATTGCGCAGTCCGCCTTTCTAGGGCTGTTGAGGCCTGGGAGGCCAAACGCAACCCCGGTCCCTGAGAACTGAGCCCCAACTCCGCACCGTTTCGTGGTCTAGGCCTTCGGATGCCCGTGCGCCTCCGCAGCGTCAGAGGCGGCGTACAATTGTCTCGGAGTGACCGTGGCAGGGGCACGAGGATCTCGAGACTCCTCTGGGAGGTGAAGGGATTTGGGGCCAGAATCTCGCAAAACTGCAAAAATAAAATAGAGCGTCTTAGGGTATACCACGAAGGATTAAAATTCTCAAGACAAATGCAACCTAACAGCAATGCTGGGGCATTTATTGAGCGCTTACTTTATGCTCCTCTAGGTCTTTCATACGTTGTTTAATGTTCATAACTTTAAAGGTGGAAGTAATAATTTAAACTGAGTTGATGCTTTGGGAAATAACATAACGCAGGTATTCCCGTTCAGGCCAAAATTCTCCAAGTCCTTACTAACTTCTTGTCCAGCAACAAAATACTTCCATAAATAAGTGTGAGTAATGAAGCGCTGGGGTGGAGTGAGTGGGGCCACCAGGCCTGCCCCTGTCAGCAGGATCAGGACCCCGGGCAGAGGGACCTTGATTTTATTCCTAAAATGAAAAGCTGGCCGATTGCTTGGGTGGAAGGCTGGTTCCCTGGACCTACGGGAGCTGCCGGGAAGGTCGGGAGGTCTCTAACTGGGGCTGAGGATGCACGGTGGTCGCTGCCTCGTCGTTCCCAGGGAATGGGGAGGTGGGGATGCCAGTACTGGTTTCGTCGTGTTGGCCAGGTATCGTGCTGTCGTCGAGTTGGTACGAGCAGGGGCAGCGGCCCCGCTGGGAAATCTAACCCCCGGATCCAGTAGCAGAAGAGAAGGGCAGTTGTAGATAGATTGGATGTGGAGAGCCAGCCGCGCCTGGGACGCAGACGGGACTTGGAAGGAGGGCGCGGGATGCCCAAGGAACCGCTGGGCTGCAGCCGTCCGGGAGGAGGGCCGTGACGAGTTTGAAGGGGGGGCACCAGGACCCGCCGGGATGCCGCGTCCCGGGCGTCCCGGCCTAACGCGCACTCGCCGGTCCTCTTCCCCGCCCGTGCAGGTGCCGCCGCCGGACGGGACTCTAAGATGAAGTTATGGGATGTCGTGGCTGTCTGCCTGGTGCTGCTCCACACCGCGTCCGCCTTCCCGCTGCCCGCCGGTAAGAGGCCTCCCGAGGCGCCCGCCGAAGACCGCTCCCTCGGCCGCCGCCGCGCGCCCTTCGCGCTGAGCAGTGACTGTAAGAACCGTTCCCTCCCCGCGGGGGGGCCGCCGGCGGTCCCCCACGCACCCCCACCCGCCGCCCGCACGCACCCCAAGCTGGCAGGGACTGCTGTACGGCCTCCCACGCCCGCGCGGAAGCCCCCTCCCAGGGTGTGGTTGCCGGTTGCCGCCCAAAGGCCCCGACGCCTGGTCGTTATATGACGCGTGCTGGTTCGTCCAGCACAGGGGGTATCAAATGTTTATGCTGTCCGTTTAGCGTTGCGATGAACAGATATTTTCGCTACCACTACCACCACCATAGGAAACCAACACAGCCTTCCCCTTTTCTAAGCGTCCCCATCCTGTAGACACACTCCCTTTTTTTTTTTTTTTTTTTTTCCCCTTTCTTCCAAAGCCCTTTATCTGTTTGGGTGTGCCTGGCTGTGCCGAATTCTGAAAACAATTGCATTTCCATCCTAAACTGCCCTTGCAAGGGGAGAGGCTGAGGTTTTTCCAAAGCCAAGCCAGAGTCAGAGAAAACACAGAAGGGCCTCGATTTCCAGAACAAGCATCTGGGTAGTGTCAAATCTGTTCAGAAAAGTTCCGGTTCTAGAAAGACTGAACGGTGAAGAGTGCTAGCTAGGACTAGGGGGAAAAAAAGCTGTAGTTCACTGCACACGCGACAATATTAACTCTTAAGAAAAGACTACATAGATAGATAGATAAATAAATAACTGTGATTTCCCCCTCAAAAATGTTTTAGATTGCACTCTATTAGGGCATGTCAACTGTGATTTGATATAATTTACCCTCTGCTCTTCAGAAGTTTATCTGTTGCTTAAAGCAAGGTATGTGCATACATTAAAAGTTAGAGGTTATTGGGGAAATATGTAGGTAACAGAGGTAGCAGTAGAAAATTTGACACAACCCCGATATAAAGCAATGGTGAGCTGTAGCCTGGATGTCACCCTGGCTACTCCCTCTAGCTATTTTGTACTTAAACTGAAGTCAAGTGCACAACGGAAGCAGCCCCCGGGCAAGTCAGTTGTATGCTAAAGAGTCCCCCAAACCTAGTGGCCTTGAGCTAAAAACAGTGCAGGAAACGTGCTTAATTACAACAATAAAAGCATCTTCTTCCAGAAGTCCCAAGAAAAGGGGGGAAAGTGCATTTTTTAAGGCAAATTAAGACTTCAGGAGTGACTTGGGGTTAGGAAAAGAACATCCGTTGATCCCTTGAAATTAAAGTAACTGTTCCAAGAGTTTCTGTCAGTTAGTTGTATAAACCTATTTTTTTTTCCTAAAATTTATTTATTTTTGAAAGAGAGAGAGCACAAGTGAGGGAGAGGCAGAGAGAGGGAGAGAAAATCCGAAGCAGGCTCTGCATTGTCAGCCCAGAGCCCCACTCCGGTCTCAGTCCCACCAACTGTGAGACCATGACCTGAGCTGAAACCAAGAGTCAGATAATTAACCAACCGAACCACTCAGGCGCCTGTATATAAACCTATTTTTATAAATTTTTTTTTCAACATTTATTTATTTTGGGCACAGAGAGAGACAGAGCATGAACGGGGGAGGGACAGAGAGAGAGGGAGACACAGAATCGGAAACAGGCTCCAGGCTCTGAGCCATCAGCCCAGAGCCTGACGCGGGGCTCGAACTCATGGACCGCGAGATCGTGACCTGGCTGAACTCGGACGCTTAACCGACTGTGCCACCCAGGCGCCCCTATAAACCTATTTTTAAAGGCTTCGGTTTCAACCATGAATTTCTACTTTAGTAGAATATAAATGTTTAGTAGTAGTAGTAGTATATAAATGTTTCTCCAACAGAAACAATATAAATGTTTAGTAGTAGTAGTAGTATATAAATGTTTCTCCAACAGAAACTTAAATTTAAAATGCCCCTTAGTGCCATTGTCTTCAGAATAGTACCCATGAGAGCTGAGTAAGCGGCTTTTCTTTTTTTTTTTTTAATTTTTTTTTTCAACGTTTATTTATTTTTGGGACAGAGAGAGACAGAGCATGAACGGGGGAGGGGCAGAGAGAGAGGGAGACACAGAATCGGAAACAGGCTCCAGGCTCCGAGCCATCAGCCCAGAGCCTGACGTGGGGCTCGAACTCACGGACCGCGAGATCGTGACCTGGCTGAAGTCGGACGCTTAACCGACTGCGCCACCCAGGTGCCCCTAAGCGGCTTTTCGTTCACTCAAACAGCCTAGGCCAGAGGGACAGGAACAGTGTTAGATAATAGTTCTCTAGCCAGGATGTTCAGGAGAAATATGACTGGGCCTGATTATGAAGCTGATTAATTCATGGAAATTTAATTAGCATATTAGTATCATGTCTACCTCAGTTTATTCAATGCTGGCTCTGCTTTCAACTAATTCTGACTTTGGACAAGTTACTTACTTACTATAGACCTCAGTGAAGTTTACAACCATGCCATAAAGGGAGTCCTTTCCACTCCCAAACGCCAATGGCTATGAGATTTTGTCCCCTTAGCCTTCATGTTCCTGCCCTAACTGTCCTCTGGGTAAAGGCTCAGGAGGAGAGACACCCCCCCCCCCCACCTCACTGGAATCCCCTGGGGATCTTTAATGGCATACTGATGCCGGACCTCACCCTGAGAGATTCTGATTTAGTTGGTTTGGGGTGTGGCTTGGGCATTTGGAGATTTAGATGTCCCCCAGGTAACTCTATTGTGCAGTCAGGGTTGAATCCCTATGATTTGATAATACTCTAAGAAAACCTATGCCCATGTAAGATAGAACCGGTAACAAAGCAAACAAGGTAGCATAATCCCACCGATTAGGGCAGGGTGGGGTGTGCAAAGGACTGGTGGGAGAAGGGACATTACTTCCCTTTTCCAAAACTGATGCTGAGTCATCACTGGACAAGATTCCTACTACTGTGTTTACATTTGAACCAGCAGAACACACCCGATTCTGTTTTATCTATGGCAAGACCCAGTAGATCCTAGAGGACATTTGAAACGGAAACATTCCAAAGAGAAACTGAGCTGCATTGTAAGCCAAGTTGACTTCTTTCCAGGTATGTTCAATTCGGTAGCAAGCTGTCAGTGCAGGGAAGGCAGAATAATGACAACGTGCAGACTTCGAACACTCAACCAGAGTCAGCATGCCCCTGTCACAGTGCTGACATGTATATCTTGCACTCTACACCGTGCAGCTGGTTAAGGCTTATGTAGAAAACATTAAGTCACTCATTTCATTCGAAAATCGCCCCTCTTATTTTCAAATGCTTGTGGCTCAGTGATTGAGCAAAGGCTCTTTCGGGCCACCTTAACAGCCACTCTGTTCAAAGGGGGCTGGACTGCATGCACTCACTCCTGAGGTTGTATGTGTTCTGCTCCCAATGTAAACGAAATGGCCAGAATTCTGTTTCTGCATCATCACAAGGTGAACCACCAAATAGAATGCATAGCTGGCTCACTTGCTTGCCTGTAGGTTGGCTATCAAGTAAAAGGGCTGTGGCTACCTCCTGTAGCAACTACGAACTTGTCTAAACTCAATGACTTGTGGTTTTCCCTTTGGGGCATCCAAGACTTTTCCCTTTAGCTATCTTTTTCTTTTGTTTTCTGTCAGTATCTTCTTCAAAGGGTGATTAGAGCCGGAACCTAGGAGGTGAAAAAGAAGGTGAAATTAGCAGATGTCAGCATTGTAGGGCTGAAAGTTAACCCCTTGTGGTCCTCAGGGTAAAGCAGCGTGTCCAAAGTACCAGAGTTCCACCACGGTGGGTGGCAGTCTGCAGACACTGGGACCAGTTTCCCCAAACCACTGAGATGCACAGCTTTTGGTTTTGCTACCTAGGGAGGAAGGTCTTCAACTAGTGACTCAAACCCTGTTGCACAAGGTTGTCTGAATTTATTAAAGGTTCGTTAATCGTCACGTATGCTGGATCTCGGCTGTATATGACAGCTCTGTGTCTCACAAGCAAAAGCAGAAAGTGCATGTGATTTTAAAATTTGCAACCTAGGGGCGCCTGGGTGGCTCAGTTGCTTGAGCATCTGACTTCGGCTCAGGTCATGATCTCGCAGTTCCTGGGTTTGAGCACCATGTCGGGCTCTGTGCTGACAGCTCAGAGCCTAGAGCCTGCTTCAGATTCTCTCTCTCTCTCTCTCTCTCTCTCTCTGCTCCTCCCAGCTCATGCTGTATCTCTCTCTCCCTCTCTCTCTCTGTCTCTCTCAAAAATAAAATAAACACCGGGGCGCCTGGGTGGCGCAGTCGGTTAAGCGTCCGACTTCAGCCAGGTCACGATCTCGCGGTCCGTGAGTTCGAGCCCCGCGTCGGGCTCTGGGCTGATGGCTCGGAGCCTGGAGCCTGTTTCCGATTCTGTGTCTCCCTCTCTCTCTGCCCCTCCCCCATTCATGCTCTGTCTCTCTCTGTCCCAAAAATAAATAAATGTTGAAAAAAAAAATTTTTTTAAATAAAATAAAATAAAATAAAATAAACATTAAAAAAATAAAATAAAATTTGTGATCTAAAAACATTTATTTGTTCAACAAATAATGTCTGCCTACAGGTGCCAGGCACTGTCCTAGGTGCTAGGAAATCCCTGGTACATATAATAGACAAAAGTCTCTGCCTTCACGGCACATACTATCCTAGTAGATGTATAGTGTGGTATGCTTAAGCAGTATTGTAAACCAAAACTAAACATGAACTGCCTTGGGCTAGGACAGTGGACTTTTTGTGTGCCTCGAAGCCAAGTAGAAGAAACAGTGAGCATTTGTTAAATTATAATTATAGGTAGTGCACAACTTATGGTAATATGATGGGATTATATTCCACCAGTTTGGTAGCAAGTGACAAAATTTTCTATGAAAACAATCTTATAAATCAAGCCTGGGCTGGACCACACAAATCTAGGTGTAAACCATAATATAGCTAAAATATAATTCACAATATTATTAGGCTAGAGCCTCTTCCTGGGGTGTCGGTCCCATAATCTGCAGAAAGAGGGCACAGAGCAAGAAATCGGGGAATTTCAACAGGCAAGAGTTGCACTTCACACAGTC